CGGCTAACCAACAGGAGGAGAGCTAGTAACGTTAGCAGCACCGCTAATGGCTAACCAACAGGAGGTTCACTTCAGTTACATTATGATGCCTTCAGGCTCTGCTCAGTGAACATGAGTACTGGCTGAAGGTACATTATAACGTTATCATGATGTGTTCACATGTCATCTGTAAAATGTAGTTTTGGTGATAAACTTACATAAAACACGTTCAGGACAGAAACAGATGAAACTTGTGACTGATGAAGAGTTCTCAAAATGTTGGAATGTTCCTTTAAATATAAAATAATTATAAAAAGTATTTAATGTTTGTTTTCTTTCCTTTTCTCTTCAGTTTAATTACATGAAGAAGAACGAGACGGCTGTGAGGGACGAGATGGTTCATCTGGCAAACTTCATAGACAGTGTGAGTACACACACACACACACACACATACGCACACACACACATACATACATACATACACATACCACGCTGTAAACATATTAAAGGTACTAATACCACGTTGTAAACATACTGTGTGTGTTCAGATGTACAAACAGCTGAACATTCGTGTGGTCCTCGTGGGTCTGGAGATCTGGACTCAGCAGAACCGGATCAGCACCGACGGAGGAGCCGGAGAGGTGCTGAGTCGCTTCACCCAGTGGAGAGAGAAAGAGCTGGTCCCACGACGCCGCCATGACTCAGCACAACTCATCCTGTTAGTACACACACACACACACACACACACACACACACACACACACAGAAACATGTGGTCAGTGTTGATGATGATGATGAAGATGATGGTGATGATGTCGTTGCAGGAAGAAGAGTTTTGGGGGAACAGCAGGAATGGCCTTCGTCTCCACCGTCTGCTCCAGGAGCCACGGGGGCGGGATCAACGCGGTACGCTGCTGCTTACTGCTCTCTTCCGATTGGCTGACTCTCACCTGTCTGTGTCTTCATAAATGCTGCGTTCAAATCACATAGAAAAGTTAGTGAATTTAAACGTCAGGGGCCACATTGACAAAGGTAACTTGTATTATCTGTCTGTCTGTCTGTCTGTCTGTCTGTCTCTCTCTCTCTCTCTCTCTCTCTCTCTCT